GAGGCGGTCCTGGGCGCCGAGGCAGGCGGCTCCGGCCTGGGGCTCCGGTTGTGCAGCCAGGACTGCGAGTTTCCCTACCCAGTGGAGGCTTGATCTGTGGACTCTGAAAGAGCCCCTTTCCCCGCCCTGGGCCTCAGTTTCCCCCATCCGGAGGAAGCTGTGCGTGGGACCCTAGGTTGGGTCCACTGGGCGATGCCGCTAGATGTGTGGGGTGATATCTGCAAGGCTTGCGTTCCAGAGCTGCAGCCTAGCCACTCTCCTGCCCGCTTGTATTTATTACTCGTAACATTGTTTCTCATGAGCTCTTTCATTAATTACCTCCCAGTTGCCAAATCCGAGTAGGCGCAGTGTGTGCCCTTGGTCCTTTCCTTATATTTTTGCTGTTATAAGGGTGAGTCTGTAGATAAAAAGATAAAGAATAGCAAAGTCGTTGGTTCAAAGGTAGACTCTAAAATTTAGAGTCAAAGGATATGCCTTTGTGTGGTGGATGTTTCTTTTACTAGATGTCCAAAAAATAGTTTTACTGGCAGGTTGGGGTGAATAGGTTTCTTTAACTCACAAGTGTAAATCCAAAAAAGGCACTGGACGATGAAATTATGTAAGCGGTGTTGAATAGAATCAGTACTTTATAAGCGGGAAGTATGAATTTTAGCATAATTGTGTACAGACTTTATAGTCTTACGTCATGCTTTTTATGGCTTGTGGATATCATGGATCGAGCCTTGTATTTTTCAGGCACCCCTGTTTGTCAGTGGGGTACTGATTAAAGAATGTGCCAAATGCTCAGCAAAGTGTTCTCAAAGACACGGAGTACATTATTTCAGAGAACACTGTAAATGAAGTTTTTGCAAACAATAAGGAAAAAATAAGAATGTTAAGATATATGATTGTTAAGTGTATTAACAAAACCGGTTTTTCATTCTGAGCTCTGCAGTTGAATGTTCCATTCATCTTTAGGAGTATGGAGAAATGACTATAACTGTAACTTATCTTATTTGTTGTTTGAAGATGCAAATATGTTAAGTGATATGTCTCGGAGAGCTCTAAGGAGCTAAATTAGAGTGTTTGCAACTGTGAACATTGACAAAAATGTGGGTCGGCTATGTCCAAGAAGCCAGCCTGTCAGCTGCCTCTCTTGATCAAACATCAGGTAGCTCCCTCATTTTGCTCTCGTCTGGAGATTTTATTCACTTGTGGCGCGCAGTTAAACGTCATTAGTTTAGAAGCCTTAATTAAAAATGTATGACTGTATTCTCACCGTATAAAATGCTCTCCTATTTTTCTTGTGAAATTTTAGGTTTTATTAATAATTCATTATAAGTATCGTCTTCAAACCAGAGTTTGCTAATTTCTCAAATTAGTATTTAATTTGTTTATTCTTTTCATGTATTATGGGTAGTATATAATAGTCTAATTGGATTTTAGAGTTCATTTTACTTTATGCACTTATACTGAAGTTATACTGCCTTTTTTGGTATTTTATAAAATTGTTTAAAAATATCCTTTATGAGTCTGTGCTTATTAGTTCATTATTAACTGAATGTATAATAAAGCAAAATAAAAAAATAAAATAAGGCAAATTAAGTAAAGTATGGCTAAGTACATAGCAACTGAGGGTTATAAGCATTTTTATATTATGTCATACTGGGATTAAAATTCTAAATCATATAATTCACTAAGTTATCACTTCCTTTTTTAATTTTTTTATGGTGCTGGGGATTGTACTAAGGTATAAAACCCCTTTTTAAAGTCCTGTGGCCCCTTTTAAAATTTGTGGGTTTTTTTTGTTTTGTTTTGTTTTTTAGTTTTTTTAAGACAGGGTCTCACTGTGTAGTTGAGACTGACCTGGAGCTTACTATGTAGCCCAGGCTGGTCTCAAACTCACAGCGATCCTCCTGCCTCAGCCTCCCGAGTGCTGGGATGTAGGCGTGCACCACCATGCTTGGCTTAAAATTTGTTTTGATAGGATCTTGCTATGTTATCCAGGCTGGGCTTGAACTTAGATATTTTCCTGCCTCACCCTTCCAGAGTGCTAGGATTACAGGCTGTCTTTTATAATTAGGATGTAGAGGGCACTTGTTAATATAAGGCAATGTATATTAGACACTAAACAGAATTTTAAATTATAGGCTTTTCTTTTTTTGCCATGAAATTTTTATTTTTGATGGTGGTGGGGATTCCTCAGGGAGTGCTTGTACTACATCCCAGCCTTTTTTAAATTTTAATTAATTAATTTTTAATTTTTGAGACAACTTGGGATTCTCCTGCCTCAGCTTTTTGAGTAGCTGGGATTATAGGCATGTACTGTCATACTTGGCTAACATTTTAATTCTAAAACTGCAAAAATGTGCCTGTTTAATACTAAATTGTCTTAACTAAGGAAGGTGAATAAATTTGGTCTTAGCAGTGATAACTTTAAGTGAGAATGTCTGTGGTGCTCCTTGTGCTCAGGTAATAAGAGGGAGCAGTGTAGTTGGAATTCAGAGCTCCTAAAATGGAAATTAGAGCTGCTGTTCAAAGTGGGTAACAGGCACCCTTTGTTGGAGGTGCAGGAGTGAGGCGAAGGATTAGCCAAAGGCTGCAGGAAGTGAGAAATTTATTGAAAGTCGTACATTTAGACTTTAAAAATTCCTGTGAATTTTGCAGCTTATACCTCACCAGGCCCATGTGTTGTACCTTAACAAATATATTCAGCAAGTGGCCGAATTTAAGGGGCAAAAGGTAAGTGGCTAATCTTGGAGTCATACAAGTTAGTTTTCTCTCTGGATGAATTTCCTTGTGTGTAAAATGATATTAATAATGCTAGCCTCATAGGATTTTGTGAAGGTTTAAACCACATAATGGACCCAGCACACGGGGAGCACTCAGTGAGTTTCAGTGGCTGTCATTGTCTTTTTTATTACTATGCCCTTGTGATCTTTTATTACCAGTGGGGCTTTCTTCTCATGTTCAGTAGTAAGAAGTAACTAAAGTGGTAGTTTCTGAGTTGCCTGCAGAGGGCTGCTTTCTTCAGCGAGGTCTTCACTAAGACAGTTGTCCCTCGGGTTTGTTAGCAGTTTGGGAAGTGCATTAACTCATCCCACTAGAGTGTCATTAGTATATTGCCAGGAGCTTCTTGTGGTCCCCTTGAGGCCACCAGGAATCAATGTACAATTCTTATTGCCGGACCTGCCTCTAGGTAATGAGGCCAGTTATGCATGGAATGGACAGAACTATTGGCTGCTGTATTTGATTTATTTTAATTTTTAATACAATTAATATTTATTGAGACCCAGTGTGTGCTGGGTGCTATGCTAAGTACCTTGGATGGCCTCATTTCTTTTCATTTTCCAAGCAGTTTTGTTAGCTGGATGGTGATCTCCCAGATTTAACTCAGAGAGTTAAAACAATGCCTAGTGATGGGCCTTGGCTGATAGCAGATGGACAGGATTGCTTTTGTGGTGCTGGGATTGAACCCAGAGCCTTTGCACTGAGCTACATCCCCAGCCTTTTTTATATTTTTAGAAAGAGTTTCACTAATTTGCTCCAGCTGGCCTGCAACTCAGAATCATCTTGTTTCAGCCTCCCAGAGTGATGGGGTTACAAGCATACGTTTTCTAAATATATAAATGTATCTACTTTACACCCTGGGAATGGGTTAATCACTGAGAAGACTGAGCTTATTTTATGATGATAAATAGCAATAGTAATGCTAACCTTCTTACCATTTATTATCATATGTTAAAGAAGAGATAGAACAGGTGGTTTCTCATTTTATAAAAAAGCTTTGACATCAAGATAAGGGACACCCCAAGAATCACACAAGTAACGCCAGAGCTGGATCTAGGACCCAGGTCTTTTCACCTTTATTTTGTCCATCAAGTTTTCTTTTCTTTTCTTTCTGTCTGTCTGTCTTTCTTTCTTTCTTCTTGCTGTTAAATGTTGCTTGTTATTGTGCAGTAGGACTGCTTGGGGGGAGTGTTTCTCAGGAAACATTATATGATAATTAGAGTTATAGTCTTGGAATCTGTGAGTCCTACAACTTCTCTCTTTAAATGAATAATGCTTCTCTTTTTACAGACAAAACCAACAAGAGGAAATGAAATTTGAAGCTTTTATTTTTTGCAAAGAAGGACCATATAATCCTACTATATAAAATGAGTTATTTAGATGTAGAGGTGGTCTTCATAGATACAGTTTAGTTCTGCCAAAAGTCTCCTTATCATGATGAATAATAAATGAAGAAATCTATGCTTTGCATTATTGAGTAAGTTTTTCTTTCTCTTCCCTCCTCCCTTAGGAGGAAAACAGCCAGAGACATCAGCATTTCAAGCCTGCAGAGACAATCCTGAGTGGCGATTGTGAATGGTATTACCACTAGATGCCTTCTAGATGCCTTCTGCGAGCATCTGAAATGAACCTCTCACATTGATTGTTTTTATTGGTTGGGAGCCAGGAGTACTGGATTCCGTTGACTTCTAGCTAAAGAGAATACAGTCCTGGTCATCATCACAAACCTCTGCACCAGTGTGACAATGAAATGAGATGAGGCTCCGCAATGGAACTGTGGCCACTGCTTTAGCATTTATCACTTCCTTCCTTACTCTGTCCTGGTACACTACGTGGCAAAATGGGAAAGGTGAGGAAAATGTCTCTGGCAATGTGCATGAAATGCAGTGGGCATTTTGCTTGCAAATAGTGCATAAATGCTTAGGTTAAATATCTTAGCAACCTGTCTGTTGCATTCTCTCTGCTGGCAGTCTCTTTTGACACAAAAACAAATGATATTCTTGGACAGAGGAGACAGAATTTCTAATTCCAGTGGGGTTTGTTTTGTTTTCGATTTCTTACAGTGGCACTGGGAGAAATAGATACCGATCAGTGGTTTAAACATGACAGCCAAGTTGAATAACAAAGACTTTTCTTTGGCATTTTTAAACTAATCATCATAAATGTTTAATAAGCTTTCTTGTACTGGGTGTTGTATAACACTTAAAAGGACATAATCAGTGCCTTCATGAAATTTACATGCCAATTATGCTAATGTGTGGTGCTATGTAGCTAATGATTTAAACTATATGCCTTGACTGATTTCTCTGTAGGCAAAAGTACTTTAGAAGGGGGCAAGGAGAAATTCTGATTGGAATAATTTTTTTAAAGTGTGTTTAGATTATGTTTTGACTGGAAGTCATTTGTTTATTGATTGGAATTATATTCAGGGAATACATTTCTTTGTCTTTTTTTTTTGGAAAGAGAAAATATATGGAGTAAATTTATTTTATATCTTTTCTTTATCTTAACCTGATGAATGACAGAGAGGAGGAAGGAGGTATGCATATTTATTTTGATTAACTCAAGTTAGGGTCATCATCACGTGGGCTATTTGAAGATGCCACCTCTAACCTCACTGTATTGAGTCGAATGAAGACGACTGAAATGATTGTTCAGACCCAATTTTTTTTCTGATGTTTGTATCGGGTAACATATCTCTGTGTGAGTGTATATTTTATACATATATATTTTCTACACATGTGCATCTCTTTGTACAAAATGAACAGATATAAAGCGGGGCAAGGTGGTACATGCCTATAATCCCAGCACTCTGGGAGGCTGCAGCAGGAGGATTCAAAGTTCAAGCCCACCCTGGGTGATTTGCAAGACCCTGTCTCAAAAAATTAAGGACTGGAGATGTAGCTCGGCATGACTGCCCTGCGTTCAGTTATCAATAAAATAAGCAAATGTAAATGAAAAACATATGCTCAGTGCTTTAAGCAAGTATAATATCCTTTCCTTTCTCTGAGTTGGGCTTTAATACTGAGATTAAAAAAAAAAAGTAAAAATTTTGCTAAAAGCAAATACTTTGTGTAGAAATACATACCATTTAGGTTTTGGTTTCTTATTGTACTAAATGAGAAGACTTAATCAGGAAGAATCTTGAATAGTTAATTTAATGAAACTGTTGATCATCCCTGACATAAACTAAACAAATGGCTGCTGTTAAAAATCTACTTCTGAGCTGAGAGAGTGGACTGTAATGGGAGTATGTGGGTTTTTTCTTATCGGGAAGCAGTATTGCAGCTGTGGAGAAACTTGATCCTTCTCACTGTGTCTTAGAAGATTTAAGATTTTGGAGACTTCGTCCATTGATTTGGGGCATTAGAAGTATTATTATTTTTCTTATTCAGCCGTCTGTATCTTCAGAGGTAACTCAGAGGAGGTAGAGAATGTTTGACCGTGCCGTGTTTAGCACACAGCCCGTCCTCTGATCTTCACCCTCTGGCCAGCTCTGCTGTTTCCCTGCTTATTGGTTCATCCCCACATTCTCAGGGATCAGCACCATCCTCCTGCTTCACTCCTGTAAATCCCCTCTTTGGAATTGTTCTTGTTTATGTCACTACTCTGATTGTCAAGCATTTGGTTTCTTTCTAGATCAGTCTTAATTTTCCAGGGCAGCCTGATTTGAAATACTCGATTTTAGTATAACCGTAAACCATGTGCTCTGGTTTTTATTTGAAAGTAATGGTTAAATGCATAACCTTTGACATTGGTGGACTCATATTACCCTCTTGCCCTCCTGCCCCATATTGGGGATTAAACTCAGGATGTTTGTGCTGAGCTTTGCCCCACCCCTTTTTATCTTTTATTTGAAGATGGTCTTGCAAAGTCACTAAATTGCCCAGGCTGGGCTCAGACTTGCTGTCTTCCTGCCTCAGCCTTTCAGAGGGCTAGGATTACAGGTGTGTGCCACCCCTGGCTTAGACTAATAGTTTTTATTCTTCATTCATTCACTGGTCCCTTATGTATACCCATCCTGTGTCTAGCACTGCATTGTATATTACAGATATGAAAAGAAATAAGAAACTTCTTTCTTTTGAGCAGGGACTGTCACAAAGAGCTACATGTAAATAAACACAACACCATCAGCTAGAATGAGGTAGAGGCTATCACAGAGTACTTGACCTTTTCTAAGCATGTTGTGTGCATTACTTCATTTAATCCTCGTAACTTCAGGAAATAGTACCTCCTTCCTGTAGATTAGGAAATCATGGTAGAGTGATTAAGACACTTAACAGGGTCACATGTTAAGATATAGAGTTAAAGTTTTAACTCAGCAGGCTGAGGGCAGAGCTTGTGCTTTTAGTTACTAGTCTACTGCACAGAGAAGCGGAGATGGAGGCCACTAATTCTTCTGGTGCTTCCTGGAGGAGGGGAAATGTGAGGGATTAATGTGAAGCCACTCCAGGCAGAATAGGGGACGTTGTGTGTCTCAGGTTCAGGGAACTGTGTGTGCAGCTACAAGGAAATGAGTACAGTGTGCTGTGGAATTCTACAGCACTCATTATGCCCACACCCAGCATCCTGAGGCGTCTCAAGGTTCACCTGGTCATTGTAGTATGGTTCCTAGAAGTACTGGTTTGTGGTAGTCTTCATTCACCACTTGCAAGAGTAACAGCTGGTCTGTGAAACCAACCTAGGTTGAGGAGACCATTGTGAGCTTCCAGGGAAAATGGGGTTTAGGGCAGGGCCAGTTTCAGCAGGACATTCAGGGTTCTCATGGAAAAATGAGGCAGAATTTTAGTTATGTGGAATTGCAGGTTGTGAAAATTGTAGGTGGTGTTGGGAGAGTGGGACAGGAATAAGCGCATTCTCACCAGTGAGAGTCGGGCTCCTCCTTGGGTCAGGTGCAATCTGGAGCCCGGCAGAACCGGTTCAGCACCATAGAGCCCTATTCCTGACCCAGTGCTTGGTGCTTTGTACACATTTAATAATCATTTGGTGTATGAATGATTCCTTCAGCAAAAAATAGAGTACTTAAAAATGTTTAAATTTGCTTTACCGAGCTGTGATGTATGTACTATACAATCCAGCTGTTTACAGTGTACAACTCAGCGTGTTGGTGTCTTCACAGGTGTGTGTGTGTCCACCACCAGTCAGTATCACAGCATTTTCTTCACCTCAGGAGAGGATCTTGTGCCCTTTAGCTGTTAGTGCCCTGCTTCTCACACGCCTCTCCCTTGCTCTGGCAGTTTGCTATTAGTCTGTACTCCATCGCTGTAGGCTTCCATTTAAGTGCAGTTGTGAGGTGTGACCTTTGTGGTCTCTTTCATTCAGTGTCATGTTTCCGAGGCTCCTCCACGCGGTGGTGTGTGTCAGTACTTCACTCCTTTTCAGAGCTAAATGATTTCCCCTTAAATGAGGGCACCACGTGGTCAGTCCATTCATCCATTGGACAGTTGAGTTGTTTCTCCCTTTTGGCTGCTGTAAACATCCGTGGACATGTTTCTGTGTACATGTATGTTTTTATTTCTCTTGGATATTCACCCAGAGATGGCATTGCTGGGTCATATAGGAACTCTGGAATCAATTGAAGGACAGCCAGACTGTTTCCCAAAGTGGCTGAACCATTATACTTTCTTTTACTTTGAATTATGGTATGTCTTTAAAATTGAGTCTCATAATCTCTGCCCTTTGATTTGTCTATTTATCCACCCATAATTAATGTTATTGATGTAGTTGTATATATTTCTGCTGTCTTTTTGTTCTGGCTCATGTCGTTTTCATTTCTCTGTTAATCCTTTACTACTTTGTTTTGCATTTATTGAATTCTAATGTAGCATTTTAATTTCATTAAAGATTTTCAGTTTTTTATTTTCTAAGTTTTAAGAGTCAGCTTTAGATTTATAGTTGCTTCATTCTAGTAATATATAGAAATATTAACTCCTATGTAACTATTCCCTTTTCCCCTTGGGTTGTATATATTTACATCTATTAATGTTACAAACCTTGCAATATATTGTTATAATTATTGCATATAGTTATAATTACGATTTTTTATCTGTCATTATGTACGGGTATGATTTTTACCATCTGTCATTATTTCTTTAGCTTGTTTTATTTCCACTTCTCTCCTTTGTGCTGTTACTGGCAATTATTTTACTTATGTATTTCTATATGTTATAAATCTTGCAGTGTATTTATATGTATAATTTTATACACTTTTAAAATTAATGAATGAAGAGGAAAAAAATACACATTTATTGTGACTTCTTATAGTTACATAGTTACCTGTGCTTTTTGTGTGGATTTATGTACTGGGGATTGAACCCAGAGCCTTGTGCCATCTGAGCTGTATTTCAAATGGTAGGAACCAGCCTACAAGCTCAAACTTGACCAAGGGGTGATGAGGATGAAAAATAAAGAGACACAGAAACAACTTAAAATATGGGGGTCCAGCAGACTCATATCTCCCTTTGAAATAGAGCCTCAAGTTACTGGCACACCTTGGCTTTATTCACTCAGATACAGGCACGAGTAATTAGAGTTCCACAGGATTCATCTGTTTTCCACCTTCCAAAGTCCTCCTCCAGATAAATAGCTTAACCTCAGGTGTTTTTACTTTTCCCTGTAGCGTGTTAGCACGCTTGCACGCTCTCTTTCTTCTCAGTGAGCACTGAGAAGGTAAATTAGGACCATCTGATCTCCCCACCAAGCCCTTTTTAAGTTTCATTTTGAGACAGGCTCTCACTAAGTTGCCCCGGTTGGCCTAAATGTGTGCTGTTCCTGCTTTAGCCTCCTGAATAGCAGAGATAACTGGTATGAACCACTCTACTTCGAATCTGTGTCTTAGTCTCTTTATTT